GGCTATATTCCTTGTCCTTTGTGTTACTAGCGCCTGGTATAAATCCAATTGTCAATATAGATAGCTATAGCGATATATTCGTCAAGCGTATTAGGTCGGTCTTTCTAGTATAGTTTATCTTTAACTTCTTCCTTTAAGCTATTATAGAACAACTATATAAGACCTTCGTTATTAATCTTATACTAAAGTAAATCCTAGCGGAACTATATAGCGTAGGCAGCTACCGACTTTGTCTGCCTTAGGCGTATGAGTCGCTCCTATATATAGAGCTTTTTATTATGGTCTCCGAATACCTTCTGGATCTCCTGCTTAAATTTATCGTATAATTTGAAAATTTCAATAGTGAAGTTATCCTAAGCGTCCGTACTATTGGTTAGCTAATCCTTAAGGGTAGGTTCAAACCATCGAAGTACCTTCCCCTTAAGCCGCGAGGAGATAAATATAACTTTGGTAGATTCGTCCGTAAACTTGTCTGGGTAGTATTTAAGATAGGCCCTTATAGATATAAGGAATCTAGTAAGTCCTTCCTTATCGCCTCTGTACTTAGGGGGTGCTTTGAGTTTGGCTTTGTCCTTGGGCTTGCCGTTGTAGGCCTTGTTGACGAGCTGCTGTATATGGCCATTCTCGGCCTCAAGCTGGGCGATTTTGGCGTTGAGAGCCTCGAGAGCCTACTGTATCTGTCGTATGGTTGCGGCCTGGCTCTAGGATTCTGGGGTGCTAGATGTCTAAGGCGCCATGATGATTGTTGTTACCTTCGATCTAAACCGTGACAGAGTCAAAGGGAGTGAGCAACGTATGACGAAACCATAGGCAGTCCTGCCTCTGAAAGGGTTCGCCGGTCGAAGGTAACTGCTGGTCGGACTGTAGGTCTCGGTGAAGCCAAAGGGTTCATAACAATGCTTGTCGCAATGTCTGCACAATAGGTGTGGGCTATTGCTTGTAATTGCTCACTGAGGAAGCTAGCTATCTGAATAAGTGGCAGAATGGTAGAACTATATACAGCTTCCTCCCCTAGGTATCCCGTGCCTAGATCTTGGAACATTTGGAACAATTGTCGTTCCCATTGTTCCATCTGGAACAACATTCCTTGGCGTTGTTCCCCAGGAACAATCGTTCTTGGCATTGTTCCTGATTTCCCTAATCCTTATTGGTTCCTTCTGCCTCGTAATGATTGGGTACAGGCGCCGCCTGTCGACCATGCAGGTCGGCCCCCACCGGCTTCTGCAGGTTAGTTCATGACACAAGTGCGGGTATTATGGCTAGGCTTGCTGTATATACTATAGCACCGGACCTTTATATAACCCCCCCCTGTACTACTACTATCCTGCTCCTTTTCTTGCGCCACCTCCCCAACTACGGCCTTCTGGCCTAGTTGATCCTTTATATTATATATTGCAAGCGATCCTCCAAGCTATACGCGTGTTCTTTTTGCTCTCCGGCGCTTGCTTAGTGCCTCGTTGGCCTTATAGGGCGAAGTATTCTTTGCATAAAGGAGAGCAATATAGTATATTACCGCTGTTGTACTTTTAGCAAGCTGGTCTATAGCAGCCAACATCGAGGTTAGGGAGCTATTTTAATAGTTGGCAATACGAGTCTTAATAAGTATTGACTGCAAGGTTGCTTCTCAAGGGTTGTATAGTGTCTGGAAGATCCAAGGTTGTAGTATGCCGGCCCGTAAGTTCAGGGGTATTAGTATATAAAGCCTTATATCCAGCTTGGATAGCACCCTCTCTAGATCGTACGGTATAAGGCTAGCACCTGCAAAGCCACCCTAGGTATTCTTCTCCGTTATAGAGGCGAAGAAGGCCTTACGGAAGGTATAGAGGAACTCGAGCTTGCTTACGTAGGTAATATACATCCGTATCAAGTGCTTAATCTAGCGACTATACGCCTTCTTTAGCGGCCTAAAGCAGCCGACATCGAGTGGCTAGAGGAGGTACGAGGAATGCAGAGGTATATAGAGCGTAATAATATTATTCTACTGGCAATAGAACTCGAATTCGGTGGAGTAGTGCCTCTTATGGCTATTGAGGATCAACAGCCGGTACTTGCCCTTTGCCTAGGACGCTATATAGTAGTCAAAGTGCTTGATCTAATCTAGGCCTATGGCATTAGTAGTCCAGCCATTATCGGTGGTTATAATACGCCAGTCGGCTGGGAGGTTATACTCGGTATACCAGTTAGCGAGGTAGTATTATACGGCCAAGATAATAAATAGAGAGATAGTCCAGCCAAGGGTATTAACTCCCTAGATAACTATCGCCTATTTACGGTTGCCAGGCTAAGCTAGCTTTGCCTTGCTCCTACCATTAGAGGTTATAATAACTATACCTATATAGATAATGCCTATTATAAACCCAGTCTTATCAAAGTTATAGATATTGTCATCTATAATGCTATATTTGGCCTTAACATTCTATATAAGGGCAAACCAATTGCCAATGACCTTTGGATCCTTATATTTAGCCCTCTAGTAGTTGTATTTATATACCTAGCGTATTCGGATCCCTTGCTTATATTGGACGAAGTTATATGCCTAGAGCTTGCCGACAGGGGGCATATTATATATATATAGAAGTTGGTTGGCCATATCTTCTACACTATATAACCTAAGCGGAAAAGCTCGCTCAGAGAGCTCAATTATATATCGAACAAGCGCCTCCTCTTCGGAATCGGTAAGCCGGCGCGAGTTGGGCGTGGTGTCGCATTATACAGGCTTTCTAGCGCGTCGATGCGCTAGGGTTCTACGGTCGACCCCATAGATCTTGGCTGCGGCTCGTTCGCTTAAATTTTTATCGTTTTAAAGAGCTTGGAGAGCCAAGTTTAACCTATCCTCTTTCAAAGTAGCTGTCACGAGGGCCGTCGTTCAAGGCCAGGGTCAAGCCTCTGGTGGTAAACTGACTGCATTGCAAGAATATTGAACTTACAGGAGGAAAGAAATCCTCGAGACTGCAAGGTAGGCTTTAAATACAGGATGCGAGTAGGTCTAAGCTTGCATGCATGATGTAATGGAACATGCATAATGAATCATCACTTGGTATGATGAATCATTATACATACAAATGATATTATCATCATGGTCGGTGCATTGCACCGTTACAACCCCCCCCTCCAAAGAAGGCTCGTCCTCGAGGCTTCCAATACAGCTCGAAAAAAATCCACCAAAACCACACCCAATCAATCGTATAGGTCGCCGTCGTCATCACTAGAGTCCTCTTCTAGAGCCTTCTTTATCGACCGGAGCTCAGGGACTATACCATACTTCGGCATATCCATAGCTGCAATGTCCACTGTATTCAAATCTATCGGTTCGCCCTTGTTGTGATTGGCGTTGAAGGGCTTGGGGTTACCGGAACCGTGGTAACGTATGTTGAGCTTCTGGAGCATTGCGACAAAGCCGTTGTAATCGTCGGGTACGATAACCTGGGTATCGAGCCGGGAGCGGGCTGATTTGTTCAAGCCACGACGAAGTATAGCGATCTTGGTGTTGTCAGGCCATATGTTCGCCTTAGCCGCGTAAAGCAGCCGTTCGAACCGGGCTAGGAAGACTGGGAGCGGGTCGTCGTCGGCTTGTTTCAAGGCTTATAGTTTATCTTCGGCATCGCGCACTTTGTTGGGGTCGTCGAACAAACGGGCTAGTTGATTAAGCAGGTTCTAGGGGTCGTACTGCTTTGTGTCTTCGGCAACGGCTAACTGTGGTGTAACGAGTGCCTGAACCTTGCTGTCGAGACGACCATATACATAGAAAAACTGGGCTTCCGGAGCTCCAATGGCTTGACTGTCGATATGGAGCTTGGCTTGAATGGCCGGAAACCAGGTATCCCAATGGTAGGTGCCGAAGAACTTGTCAGGATCGGGGAGACTCGGCTTGGGCTTGCGGGCCGGCTTAGTCCTCAAGTCGGTAAGCTCCTTTGATAAGGCTTGAATCTGGGCTTCGTGGTTCTGAATGACCTGCTGCATGTGCTAAATAGGGTCCATCTTGCAGGTCGGTTGTCGTTCGTATTCGTTATTAAATGCAGATGCGAGAAAAAGGAGGGCTCTTGCAATTCGGGATCCAGCCGGTCGGTCCACATACTTCTAATTACCATACAACCCATATGCAGGGGAAGAAGGTCGGAAACTGCCGCGCTTGCAATGAATACCGAAGACCCTTGAGGAAATGGCACTTCCAATTATTACCGTAACCCTTTAGTGCCAGGGAAGGAAGGCCCGAAGTGATAAATAAGGTGAAAAAAAAAAAAAAAAAAGATTCCGGGTGCCGACGGGGGGCTCTAGGTGCAGGCTCCGTAGTTGTTCGAATACGTGGTCAGGCCTCCGCTAAGACGATGTACTACGTGCTCGGTCGACTAGGCACGGGTCGGTTCGGAAGGTCGTAGCCGTTACGATGAATTGCCTGGCTAGGTACGCAATCCAAAGGAAGTTCAATATTGTCACGAGGGCCGTCGTTCAAGGCCAGGGTCAAGCCTCTGGTGGTAAACTGACTGCATTGCAAGAATATTGAACTTGCAGGAGGAAAGAAATCCTCGAGACTGCAAGGTAGGCTTTAAATACAGGATGCGAGTAGGTCTAAGCTTGCATGCATGATGTAATGGAACATGCATAATGAATCATCACTTGGTATGATGAATCATTATACATACAAATGATATCATCATCATGGTCGGTGCATTGCACCGTCACAGTAGCGGGCATCCTCAATGGTAGAGAAAATGTGTTGTTGAGGGTAGAGGTGTCGCGTCGCGTAGAAAGTGGGTCATTCGCTTATATGGGTCACTCGCTTATAAGATACGTTATCGGCAACGGCAATTCTTGATGTGCACCTCTCTGAATATAGAAATTATAAAGATCGGACTTCCCATCCAACGACTGGACCCCATCGCCTGTAAGTGTGACGAGCGAAGCAATATAAACAAGGTCAGACCGGCTGTATTAATGCCTCTGATATCGAAGATCTAAGCTTAAGGAAGGAAAAGGAAATGCGCGCTGGTAGGCGCAAGGAATTACAGAGTTTTGTGGGGTGCCTAAGGTCACGTGACTTGGCCCCACAACAAAGGACAGAAAGGAAAATACAGAAGGTCGTGGGTTCGAGCCCTGAACAGGGCACCTGAGCAGGGCACCCACGGTACAGTAAGCATACATAGCATGTGTTCGGCCTGTTTGTCGCCACTAACTTGGAGCTGTAATCCGACAATCTCTTCGGACAGGGCAACAGCTCGAAGTTCCACACGAGCAGCGCAAACAATATCCTCATGTTCAGATACGCCAGTCTTTTTCCAAAGCATGCTCGGACACCCAGACCAAAAGCCAGTTGCGGTCCGGCTCCGGGATCGAACCTGTTGTCCTTAATCCAGCGTTCAGGTTTGAACAAAGCCATATCATTCACATCCCACTGTTTCCATTTTTCTCCTTGCATGCCACGAATGCTCTCATGACGATGCGCCTCGTTGATATCGAAGCTGGGCTCCATCATGCTTGGTCCCATCGTCAGGCATGCAACGTTTGTCTTTTTAGGGATGCGATGACCAAGCAGCTCTGTGTCGATAGTGGCTTGGCGATCAACAATCGGCGTCGTACCGCCGCAGCGATGGATCTCTTCAAGAGTGGCTTCAAGATAGGGCACATGGGTCCCAACAATCTCTTCCACCGTTGGGTTTCGGCCATCAACGATTGCATCCGCGAACGACTCTCGCAACGCTGTCCGTAGACGCGCTGCTACTCGAGGGTTGTCAGTCAAGAGCTTGACACCCCATGACATCGCCGTGCTGGTTGTATCAGTTCCGGCGAATACAAAGCCGCACACCTGCGATAAGCGGTCAGTCCCGAACGCAAGCCAGGCAATATCAAGTGCCTACGTACTTCGTCCATCATGACTTTGGATAGGTATTGAGGCTCCCGGCCCTCCTTCTCGGCAAGACTCTTCTCGCGCAGGACCATATACTGGACTGCCGACTTCCCCGTATCGTCGCCTCTGCTCTCCTTCAGTTGCTCAACTGCATATCTGATCTCCGCTAAGATATATGCGTCTCTCAGCCGGAGTGCATGGGCATTGCGTGGCTTTTGCAAGATATAAGACCAGGTCCAGCTCGGCGTCGGGCTCCCTTGAATCTCTGCGATGAGTGAGAATAGGATGTCGAGCGCATTGAGCACAGGGCTGGGCGCCGTATGGGGAAATATGACGGGCTCTTCGGGGTCGTCCGGCATAGTTATGTCCAGGCTTTTCGATTTCAACGCTTCGATATCAGGACGGGTCGCGGTATCCCGGAACCTTTTCCCGAAGCAGAAAGACATCACAGCATCCATTGTCATTCGACGTAGATTTTCTGATGCCTCGAAGGCCCTTCCATCGGCCAGTCTTGATTTAAGGCCCCACAACTCAACCAGGGAGAGGGCATGCTGATATATCTCAGGAGCTGCAACGCTGTGCAACCACGAGGGAAGCATGAGGTCTTTGATGAGAAGACGTTGAGCTTCCCAAGCCGCATCGGTCTTCATGCCCATATGGTGTTCCGGCATCAAGCCCAAAATCATATCGGCCATGTCGTCAGAGCGGTCAAAGTCGTTGCGACGCATTAAGGCCTGGGTTTCTCGGAAGTCTGCAAGGACAAGGAGCGGTTGTTTGAAAGGTTTGATGAAGATTTGTATGAGTGGTGCGTCTAATGATTTGGCTACCGATTGGCAGTACGTGGCAAAGGTTCCTCCATCTTTAAAATCCTCCAAATACGCTTGGCCGTCGCCGAAGAGTTTGTTGGCGGAGTCTTTGTTGTAGGGAATTCCTGGGATTGGTTTGGGAAGAGCTAGTAAATACAAGCGAAATAAACAAGCTATGGTGATGACCAAGACGAAGAGCGCGGAGATTGGGATTGGCGAATGCTGGCGCGCGTACTCGAGCATGATGGACAGCTGCGCCATGGATGCTGTTCCGAAAAGGGAAGTACTTAGAATGGGGATGGCTTGGAATGGGAGTTCCAAGACGAAAGAAAAATAACGTTGCCCCATCTCAACGGTTGGAAAGGGCTTGGCTGTTATCTCCTTGATATTTCCCCATTAGACGCTGACGGCAAAAGATTACCCGTGTATGCTTATGAACCCAGCCGTGCTCAGAGCAAACTGTGCCCGCAACAGATGTAATATGTACCTACATGTAAGTAACATCCATAAAAGCGAGCGACCCAGAGAAGCGAATTACCGAAAACAAAACCTATATACACCCGAATTCCTATCTTTAACAAGATCGCCCGATTATATAGAAGTCCGGGTGATATTAGTTATCCGGCCTCTAAGGTATAGAGTCGTGGCTCAGTTATCCTAGGTCCATTAGCTTCGCTGGTCTTGAAATGCGAAGACGCACTGGCGCGTAAGCTAAAATTAAGAGGTAAAGCACAAGTACGTTTAACATGGAAGCCCTGACATGAAGAGAATTGCATATGCATATGTAAGTGCAATATAAGCTTTCTTTGGAATTACAGAGATTTCTATCAATCTTTCACTAATTTAGCGAAGGGAATGGATTTAGGGTTCTGTACATGTAGTTAACGTATCTTATAAGCGAGTGACCCATATAAGCGAATGACCTACTTTCTACGCGACGCGACACCTCTACCCTCAACAATACATTTTCTCTACCATTGAGGATGCCCGCTACTTTGAAAGAGGATAGGTTAAACTTGGCTCTCCAAGTTCTTCAAAACGATAAAAATCTAAGCGAACGAGCCGCAGCCAAGATCTATAGGGTCGACTGTAGAACCCTAGCGCGTCGATGCGCCGGAAAGCCTATACGATGCGACACCACGCCTAACTCGCGCCGGCTTACCGATTCCGAAGAGGAGGCGCTTGTTCGATATATAATTGAGCTCTCCGAGCGAGCTTTTCCGCTCAGGTTATATGGTATAGAAGATATGGCCAACCAACTTCTATATATATGCGATACACCCCCTATTGGCAAGCTCTGGGCATATAACTTCGTCTAACGTAAGGAAGGGATCCAAACGCGCTAGGTGTATAGATATAACTACTAGAGGGTCAAGTGCAAGGACCTAAAGGTTATTGGCGATTGGTTTGCCCTTGTATAGAACGTTAAGGCCAAGTACGGCATTATAGATGACAATATCTATAACTTTGACGAGACTAGGTTTATAATGGGCATTATCTATATAGGTATAGTTGTTACAACCTCTAATGGCAGGAGCAAGGCAAAGCTAGCTTAGCCTAGCAACCGCAAATGGGCGATAGTTATCTAGGGAGTCAATGCCCTTTATCACGGACCGTATAGGGTGCAATGGTATATATATGGTTGCACAAGGGAACCAGAAGTGTGGCCCTGCCGCGCACAGGGAAATACCCTGCGCTGCACAGACCAACCCTATAGGCCCGACCAGGGCTCCACAACCCTTGTGCCTGAACCCTAACCCTACTCTACGATATGGCACAGGCTATGCCCGTAACACTACCCCGTCCTCTAAATAAGGCCCCCCCTTCCGGGCCGTCGGCCAAATTGGCCAATTCTTATAAAACGACGTTTTCCCTGGTTATACGCCCGGCCTAAGCCGGTCATATAATACCCTTCTTCGCCGACGGACATTCCGTTCTACTGATTCAATTGCCTACGCGCGCGTATTGAACCCGCTTGCCGCTGCACCGGTTACCCTGGTTCCGCCTCGTACGCTCTGTTCCGTACCCTCGACGAGTGCCGTCTTCCTTCCGGCGCCGGCTCCCGCTGCTCCCGCTGCTCCCGCGTATACTGTCCCGGTTCCTATATGCCGTCTCGTGACGCCGACGACCTTCGTGATGATTCCCTGGTGTTACAGCGCGCGACTTACGCCGGGGGTCCCGGCTAGTCCGGGTAGGCGTTATAGTACGCCTAGATCGCATTATCGCAGCCATATAGGTCTATGGCCGGTTGCTAGGTTGGTTCGTTATAGCCTTTCTACTTTACTAGGTATTGCCAACGGCCGTTGTCTATCTTACTATAGTCTAGGATACTCTCGAATCGATATTCCTATATTTCCTTGCTGTCGTCGGTTCTTATAATGACCCTGCTGCAGTTGGCTCGGACATCTTGCTATATTTCTTCCTGCCTAGGCAGTCCGGCTTAGATATAGGGCCTTACCTATAATATATAGAATATATTGAAAACCTTTATGTTGGCCGGTAATTTTAACGTTATAGCGTACGACAATGCCTTTATAACCTCGAATAGTCCCTCCTAATGGGGTTCTAGCTTCTATAACGGCCGGCCGGTCTTATAATTCTATATACTTAATATTATACGGTCGCCTACCTGGTAGACTAGCGCGTTATCTCGCCTTTTGTTCGCGCCCTCTTTATAGCAGTCCTAGGCCTGTTTCGAGAGCGCTGTGATATAGTCCTAAACCACCTAGAACCGGGCCGCAATTTCCGATGCGCAGAAGAACTCCCGTCGCTATAGCTTTATAAGATTCGGGGGGCATAGCTTTGCCGGCTTAACATCTATATATAGGTAGAAGCCGTAATTCGCGTAGAACGGCGATACGCCTATTGTCTCCGATGCCGTATTATTGCCTGCGAATTCGGCTATTGGCAGCCAATCTACCTAGTCATCTTATGCCTAGTCCATAAATAGCCTTAGGTATTGCTCTAATTCCATATTGATACGCTTTATCTGGCCATTCGTTTAGGGGTAGTAGGCCGACAACGGCTGTAGTGTCACCCCTAGTTGTAACGACAGTGCTCTCTAGAAGGTCGATATAAACTACGTGCCGCAGTCGGAAATAACAGTCTCCGGCGTACTATATAAGCTATAAACCCTCTCGATAAATCGTTCTGCTAGTTCCTCCGCTTCTAGTGTAGCTATTGGTATAAAGTGCCGTATTTTCGTTAGGCGGTCGACTACAACCGCGATATATTGAAAATCCTGGCCTCTTCTCGCATACGTAGGCAGCGGTATAATATAGTCGACCGAGATATCGCGCTATAGCGCTAGTAGTATAGGCAATAGCTTTAAGAAGCCTGCCGGCGCCGCCTTCGTGGTCTTTGTTTTATCGCAGAGAAGGCATCCCTTATAGTAGGCGCGCACTGCTTGGCTCATTCCTGGCCACTAGTAACGCCTATTTATTAGGTCCAAGGTCTTTGTACGGCCTAGGTGCCCCCCCGGCGCTGAGGCATGCACTCTATGGATCAGTTGAAGGTATATATTACTATCGTCTGGGTCGATGATTATACGGTCCCTATAGTAGGCCTTGCCGGCTATGGCTCTACACTTTGCAAATAGGACTCTTAAGCGCTTCTTGATCTCCTTCGGCTATATATACGCTGTTTTGTTAGCTAACGCCGCTAGAACGCTATAGGAACGCCGAGTTTGTATATATATCCGATAGTAGGTCGTCGATATACTAGCTTACGTCAAGTTGGAACATTTGTAATTCTTCGTCTTCGCCGAACGTAGCCGGATCGAAGCGGTCGGGGTAGATTAATGGCCTCTTTCTATTGTACAGTCTGTCATCCTTAACACCTTATAGTATATCCTCTGGTTTCCTGCTTAGCGTGTCGGGCCTTGCGTTTGCTATACCCGGTCGGTATACGATACGGAAGTTGAACCGTAAAAGGAACTCTAACCACCTTATATGCCTTAGTAATAGCTATTTCGTTATTGCAAAGGTCTATAGGTTCTTATAGTCCGTAATAATATCAAACCGTTATACTACGCCCTCGAGTTCTAGGCGCTACTCTTCTAGGGCCTTGATAATAGCTAAGAGCTCCTTGTTATAGATATTATAGTTATATTCCTAGGCGTTATGTTTGGCACTGAAATACGCTATAGGGTAAAGCTCGCTGTCGTCGCCTACCTACGAGAGCGTACCACCCGCTAACCAGTCCGAGGCATCGGTTTCTACTATAGTTGAGCGCTCCCAATCGAAGATTCTAAGCACAGGCGCTATTAAAAAGCTTCGTTTTAGTTGCTCAAACGCTAGCTGGCACTCTTTGGTCTAGTTCCATTCGGTTATCTTCTTCGTCAGGTCGTATAATGGCTTGGCCATGCCTATAAAATCGCTGATGAAACGCCTATAGAAGTTCGCAAAGCCAAGGAATCGCTATAGCTACTTTCGTATTGTTGGTGCCTCCTACAAAGTAATTGCCGTTACCTTCTCTAGGTCTATTTCTATGCTCCCGGGCGTAATGATTAGGCCTAGATATTTTATACGTTTGGTATAGAACTCGCACTTGTCAATGTCAATCTATAGGCCTGCGTCGATTAGCCTTTTAAGGACCTCCCGGACCTATTTTATATGGTCCTCTATATTCCTAGAGTAGATAAGCACGTCGTTAAGGTAGGCCGTAGTATATTCGTCAAGTGCGTCGTAAAGTAGGTCGTTAATATAGTGCTAAAACGTTGCAGGCGCGCCCTATAGCCCAAACGGCGTCACTAGTGATTCGTATAGCCCGAACCATATAATGAACGCTATCAGCTATTCGTAGCCTTCCGCAACGCATACCCTATTGAATGCCGCAATAACATCGAGCTTTGTGAATACCTTTGCCTTACATATAGAATCTAGGGTCTCCTGGATCAGTGGGATAGGGTAACGGCTCTTCATGGTCATATTATTAACTGTGCGGTAGTCTATATAAATACGTATTCCTCCGCCTAGCTTACGCGCTAGTAATACCGGCGACGCAACGCTCGACTTCGACGGTCGAACAAAGCCTTTTGCTAGGTTGTCATCGAGCTACCTCTTCAATACGCGCAGTTCTATAGGCGAAAGTGGCCTGTTTCGCGCCGAGGGAAGCTTGGTTCCTAGGAGCAATTCGATCTTGTGGTCGTATAAGCGGTACGGTAGTAGAGTATTAGCTTCTTGCGGTAGGAAGGCTTTGTAAAGGTCTCTATATTGTGGTAGTAGCCTGTTCTTGATATCTTCGGCCGTAGGCGTCGGCTT